TTCAAGCCTGTTTTTCTGCGAAGTAAACGGAATTACAGAAGGCGGCAAAATTAAAAGATGCGTAATGTTATCCCTTGATATCATCAGGTGACAAATCTTCCACTACACAGCGGCTCCCACAATTTTTGATCACAAAGTTTTCATAGGGATCACAAAAGAATGTTGACAATCGCTGTGAGCTTGACAGATGCTCTGTTAGTAATAGCTTTACCTGATTGATCAGACAACTTTTAATTATCCATGCCCGATATATTAAAATTAGCTTGATGATTGGCACAATTCCCGGAATAAATTTGATATCTACAAATACACTTCACTAAAAATTAGACACAAATGTGACTGACAACTTCTTACCCACGCGTGTATTCATCCCGCAATTTTTTTAAACAAAGATAATTATAATGTCAAATGTTTACGTGCCAGCTGTGAGGAAGACGTCCTACGTCGTTTTGGATTTTGTGAATTTTAACACAGCTAAAATGGCTAAACTTAACTTAGCTAGTACTGCTTATTGTAGAGCACATCGTTCGTTTTGCGTCTTCAAATTTCAGGCTATAAATCCTTTATCTGAATAGAGTGTGCACATCTAATAAATCATCACAATTTTGATACAAGTTAATGCTGCCTTTCATAACTGGAGAAATTAATCCCAGTTAGCGGAAGCCTTTTCTGCTTTTACAATTACATCGTGCATTGAAAGCTGCTAAATATTAAGGTTTTATTATTAAAAACGATAAATCACCTTTTTGAAATAAATCCTGGCGTAGCGGATCCTCCTTTTGGCCCATCTTCTGGATTTCTTATATTAAATTTTTTAAATGTCGTAACATTGTGTTTTTTTACATCTATGGACAACCAAATGTTAACTTGTATTAACAAACTTCATCCCGGTCCCGTCATAACGTTAACATATACTGAAATTCTGCTAATTGCACGCTTTCCTACTCAAAATGTTTTCATCTTATTTGGATTAGTCTTTTAAGTTGGTACCCATTTGCTCACTGGTTATCTTCCGTGGGCTTCTTTAAAATTTTTATTAATTCTTCTGATCAAAATATGTATGTTGGAAAACATTTTAATCAGCAAATTTTCTTGCGTACATGTTCCTCTATTAAAAGTGTTTAATCCTGGAACAAATTGTTTTCCAGTATTCTAAAGCCCCTTCTTAATTACATATTCCTTAAATATTCTGTGATAATTTTACTCGATTGTCTTAGTCGAGGCATTAAATGTTCAATCCAGGGCACATTTATCAGGGTCAACAGGCCAGTGCGTACAGATATGCAAGCACTTTTGTGGGAAGGTGTCTTCCTTATTCTATACAAGTTCAAAAATAATTAAAATGCTGACGAAACTTGTAAAAAATTTTAATATGGATTTAGCTAAACATGCATATCCACGAACACTAATTCATTTCCTGAGTTATATTTTATAACTATTCAGCCGCAGGCTGTAGGTTTGTTCGTCCTGCCTATTAGCTGGTTGTTATCTAAAATCTTTTACTGAATTCTTGAACACAGTTAGCTTACTAATCGCATGAATTTATAAAAGTTAGAACTTAGTAGTTGTATGCAATTCAGGATTTCCTTAATCCTTGTGTACCATGCGAGTGGGCAGTGAAAGGTGCATGCCAGGTGATTTCTGTTGATACGGTAGCTCCTCCGTAAAATGTTGCTTCCTTTAACTGAATGGATTGGAACTAGTGCGCTTAACAATTATGCCTTTGACATTATTCCTAGCAGATAGTAGACGTATCTGAATTAGGCCATAGAATAATTTCCAATTTTAAAGGCAATTATTTACGTTATACATGGCCAAATCAAAAGGCAGAACTCACTATCATTTCGAACCGAACTGCGAATATTTAACCCGTTAAACGTTTTATGATTAAGTGAAATAAGTTGATAATCTTGTGCACTGCGCGAAGTTAATGTGCGTTGTTTCTTTATGGCTTTAATATTGGTTAAATATAGCCGATTTATCCTAAAATAACTTGTATACGGATATATATTTTTATTTTAAACTGGCTATCTGTGAGAAATATTTGTAAGTAGTGTGAATAATTCTTAGGTTTTGTGAAGATTTGTCCTAGTCAGACACAGGCAGACTGACACTACACATCCAGGAAAGCTCTAGATGGTCGCTTGGTTTTATTGGGACTCGTCAGTATCCCGCACCCGCCGAATCCCGCCGGATCCGAATCCGACAGGATTCGGCTGGGGGCGCTACTTAGGAGTCCGAACAGGACGAAAAGACCGTCTAGCGCTTTCCCGGATGTGTGGTGATACCTGCGTGTGTCTAGTTAAGATACGTGTTACTAATTTTACATTCTACGGTACGCAAATTTATGCTGGAATTCATTTAAGATGACTTATCCTACGCGGAAACATAACATGCCGAACTATCAAATGGTAAAAATTAACTTTAGTATGGCAACGGAACCTAACCAATAAAATAGAATTGCAGAATGATAAACAATTATTACTTTACTTGGTCAAGTATATAAAAAGGCAGTCCCAGTGGCACTAATATCGTATCATTTGAATAAAAAAGATTTCTTTTTTACTTGCGTTTCTCCACAAAATTTGTTAGCAAAATACCCTCTTCTATTGAGGATGGATAATAAGATAGATTAATTGATGTAGTACAGTTTCCTTATGCTTTTGATAATTTGCCTCGTAAAACCAACTGTATATTTACGGAAACATTAAACCGCAATGTTTACTAATAGTTCACTGAAAACTCACTTGTTTCATTTAGTACCCAGACTTAACATGTAACGGAAAGGAAAGTGAACCGCTAACAAATGTGAGTGGTTAACAGCACTTTATAGAGGTATTCAAATATTCGCTAGGAAAGCAATGGTTCGTTCAATCAGTAAAAGCGTTATTTCAGGTTATTTAAAGCATATACGCTTAGGTGACTTAACTAGCAAAATATAATTACGACCATTTGCAAATAGTATAGAATTATACAGGTCAAACAGAGCCATTGTACCTAATAAAAAACTACTAGCCCTACGTAATATATGTTGTTTCTGCATGTTTATTGTATAGAGCATGATATAAATATTACGAAAATAGCCATCATTTCCATGTGCTAATTTCTGACAACTAATAAGTAATACCCATTTTTAATTAATAACTATATACTATACAGTGGACCAATAACAAGGAATATGCAAATATACCTTTTAGAATAGGAGCAATATGAGCTGCTCGCCGTAGGCCAAGAAGGAAAAGCGTGCTAAGCCAATGGTTTGTAAAATGCTAGTGTTGACAATGTCCTTGGGTAATTCAAATGTACTTAAATATAATCTAGCATCCCTTGTTCAGTAATTATTTATTGTTAACTCTGTTTCTGTGCTTCGTCCATTGCGTGGACACAGGACGTCAACCTGGTAAGATATTTTGCGTGCCACAGTTATTGCCACTAATACGTGATTTAACCATATTTAAATCTTACAAATCAGCATCCAGATTCCCCAGATTTGTGGTTGAAATAAGAGTGGCTCCTAACTCCATAAAACCGACTCTCCGTAATTCAGTGGCAGAAACCCCGCTGCTATGCGGTTAGGAATTTTAAACAAAGTTTTAGTTAAAATCCCCATTCGGCCTCCTTTTTAAGCCAGAGCAAACTGGCAGTATCTTCTGGAGCAATACAGCACCGTTGCTTTGCTTTCAAACAATTTTAGAGGTACTGGCTGTTGCAGATGTTAAGCAACTGCGCCCTCTCTGCTGCATCCACCAGTGTGAATGGATCAATGATGCAAGTATTTAATACCTCCCGCGTTTTCCTATTTTCCTATATTCGGCTTTGTCCAATTTGCTTCACGATCGGACTATTTTATCCACTTTATTAAGGCTGTTGTAATCTGGCACACGCCAATCGTACTTCTATAACTACCTGTATTTAACTTCTTACTCATAGTTACTCACAATGCGCAGCCCCGTTCCACAGGATAACTCCATAATCAGCAACGCGGACGTTAGTTCATCTGTTTCATGAACACATTGGATTGTATACGATGGTTGACATGACGATTAGCCAAACTCAGTTATATTTGTGTTTTGCTCATCTATATTTTTATCCACCTCAGTCACTTCTCCTCTAACAGCAACCAAAAGGCCTTCAGATTGTATGATTTATTATTATATAATTTTTTTGCTTTTGTCCTCTGTACTATTTATTATTTAAATTTCCATGCCTCCCTCAGTGTGGAAGGAGCTCAATCTGTTCCTGAGGTTTTCCACAACGCTGGCTATAGCCAAATCCAGAGTTCCATTTCTCGATGAGTGAGTAAAGCGTAATGAGTATCCCACTAGATTTTGGAAGCAGCTACGTCGCAATAAGATTTAAAGTATTAGCAAGACGCTAGATGACATGCGCATAACAAATGTGATACCGTGCATCCCAATATAGCGGAATTTTGTCCGTAAATATCATTGTATTGGCCTGAAGACAATCATGGAATATAATTAGTCACCTATGTTCTCGTGAGATTTTAACTCTAAATGGGAATATTCAAGTTCCTTAACTGCATTTATAACGGCATATAAGCTGAGATGTTTTTCTCGCCATTAAGTATCGTATATTGATAATGATGTTGATTAAATGGTCTTCATAAACATAAAAGTTACATGTTTTGAGTGCCATAAATATCAGTATTTCTGTAGAAGCTGCATTTATATCCGTCGGTATGAATGGTTGCTTACCCGTGACATTCAGAACGTCGCCGCCTGGCACGTAGCTACAGTTGAAAACTAATAAAAATGTGACGTAAATTTAAAGATTTTTTAATTTTTCAATATTATTTTGTATTTGGTTATTTATTAACGAAAAGCGCCTTACTGAAATTCGTCAAATTGGTATTCACATCTGAAAATGAGTAAATGTGATAAGCGCATTAGTTAAGTGTCATGCACATATTGGTATTTATTACCCGCACTTTCATGCTACAGTTTTGAAAAGAATATCTACTCACATTCATCTTTTGATGGAAATGTCTGCAGATTGATACCTTTTAGAAAAATATTGGCTTTTATTGTCTAATTGTGTATTAGGCAAACACTGTCGTTTTTCAATCGCTTTTTGCCATGTAAAGCTATCATTTATGATTCAGAACGAAATTATAATGGGCAACAAAACCGAAAATTTAACAAGTGCAAAATAGAAAAAGCATGTTAGTCGCACCATCAATGAATTTCGTTTATTGTGTGCTCAAACAATTTTTTAACTTTTCGAGGTCTTGCATCCTGGACACGGTTGTATTGTAGTGAAGTTTTGGACTAATCCCTTTACATTGGTGGGACATCAATGTAAATAAAGTTTTCACATATGTAACTCACAAATCCACCATCCTGTTGTTCATTATATTAATATTTGTTCCTCTAGACAATTTGTATGAAATTGGATTTACGAAACTAACTACATACAATAACCGATCATGTGCCAACGTGATCTTTTTTGCACTAATTAAGTAACTTTAGATCCAGTTACATTTCAAACTGCATTTGCATCCTGGTAACCTCCACATTATGACGATACCGCGCCTCTATATTGTAAAACTAATTCACTGCCATACTCAAATATTGTTTATATCGGTAGCAGAACAGAGGCTTTACGATTAGAAAAGCACTTCTTTCATATTCAATAAGAATTATCACCTGAAAATTGCAACTGTTTAGAATTCATATTTTGAACTGGTTTACTGCTTGAAAGCTTTTACTTCGTGGCATTTAGTGCCATTTCTGCCTAGCTGCCGTTGCAAATGTATATACTAACATTTCATACTGCACAAATACAATATTTCGGACTGTTAATTTAGGTGGCTTACTGCTTTTGTCCTCATTGAACCTGGCTGTGAAAAGAAATGCTTTTGTTTGTTTTGGCATAAGTAAAATAAATTAGATCAACACACGATAAAAGCTGCACTAACCTTCGAAAATGCAGAATTTTTGAATCGGCACTAGTAGACATATAATAGTTTCATGGTATTAGTATGTTTCAACGTTGGTGCAAATATAGGCTCAGTAATCGCTCTCAAAACATGCTGACATAGCGCAATAACAAATTCATTTTGTATTATTATAATCAATAGATATTAGGTCATCACTACCTGTGCACTACGAAGTTACGTAACATCAAATATTAGGAAGCATGAATAGTTATGGTTTATTTCATTGTGATGTTGCTTAGCTTAATGTTCATAGTGGATCTCATCTCTGAGTAGAGCAACCTATGTTACTTACGTAAGTTGAGAATACGCGTTATCCGAATTGCTCACTTAACTCCGAGTTATCTCAATATATCTGTCCTGGCCACATCATGGTCTCAATACAGTCGTTTGATTGGCTCCGGCTTGATTCGCAGCTTCTGCATTGCTTCACAGAGGTAACATTATGATGTCTTACACATATTTGACCCCGTAACGGTCAGATTCCTTGTACCACATATTGTCATATGTTCCAGTTCTACAAATTATATTCAACCTACCTAACTGCATACCCTGCTCAAGTCCTTACTGTATTTGGCTAAACAGTTTGACATCATATTATATTCGTTTTAATGATGCAAAGTTATCCATATCCTTAAGCGTCAAGTGTACATGTCACATACATTTCCTGTTCCCCAGACGCCAATATATAAACAAGTTTGTTTTGTGCAACAGCTTTTTTGAGTAAACTACCATCATGGCTCACCATTAGTTGCCCTGCTGTTGCTAACTTTCCCCCAAAAGCTCTGAAGACGGCAGCTAAGAGGATAGCCAAGCGATTAACCTCAAGCTTTAAGAATGGTTAGGTATCCAGCTACTTCCTACCGTGTAGAACTAGGGTGGCATTAGCCCACCAATTATAACTTATGGATTAAACCTCCCGTTGCGGTCAAACGTGATAGAAATGGTTATAGCTAAGGCAATAAGAGGTTCACTATAATCTGCTAACATGAAAACACTCGAGCAACAAGGCTTCTGACATCATCATATATCATCAAGCTACGGATTGCACGTGCCACTTCGGTTGCAACAAACAATTGCAGAACCGAATCAACTATTGTACTTTTGTTAAAGAATTCGACTGCATCCTCCTCCAAATACTTCAAATGTACGGAATTGAGAGTTCTATTTTTAAGTATTTAGGAAATCTCCATCCTTAGCAACTATGTTTATTAGAATTTGTGGCTCGTTTTCCTATCCCAAAATGGTAGACTACAGGTTTCTGTAAGTTCATTGTTTGGGCCGCGCTTGCAATTATTCAACATTTGTGAACTTTTGCGTGCCATCGAAATTTGTGTCCCGCTTTTTACTGAGAACTTTAATATACGGCGAACTGTACGGAAGCAGGAAGATTACCAACTGCCGCAGTAATAATAAAACCAAGATTTTAATTAGTCAAGAGCAAATTTATTTCTTTGAGTCTCGTGCGAGTACAAAAGTGCACATATACGCCACAAGCCCATTTTTGAATATACGCGTATAGATTACAACTTGAGGACGGCTCTAGGGCGTCATGAATTTTGGGGGTGATTAAAGGCAACCTCTAATACTAGGTGTCCAAAAGAGTACAACAACATTCCGGTCCCTTACTGAGGGCAATCGGGAGGTTTTCTTAATTTCATCACTCGCATACTTTAAAAACCATGTGGGGCCCAAAGAAGCGTTAGTGATGCATGCAGCTCATTCCCAGCTAAAACTCAACGCATGGTATTGAACAATGATTTATCTCGGGTAAAAGGCATTTGCTTGACAAGTCAAACAGGATGATGGGTTTAGACTAAAATCATTAAAATATAGTTGATTTGTCTGCTTGTGCTTTAGTCTAGCAGATAGACTGTTGAATTATATTAGTTTAGCTAGGAATTGGATGTGAACGAGGAGACAAAAAGGGCTACAGTCATACTTGTTGCGATCTGTGAGAAAATTAAGAAGCCTGAACGAGAAAATCCACTTCTATCCCGTATCCTCAGGTATATGCAATATGTAATCCGGTTTGGTGAGACAAATTATATATTCCAAAATTGCACTGTTTAGGCAACGATGTGATAGGGATCAAGGGCAAGATACATTCATTTTATGAAAATATCTAAAGTGAGGGGTAAAATAACGAAGTTCGTGGGAGAGAATTCAAGGGTTGGTAAACCCGAAGATTAAAAAATGCTGCGGACATTCCAGGCGACTAAACTGTTTACACAATTTCAGAGGGTTTCCTCTGAGATTTGTATTGTGGTTGAGTTCCAGCAAGTGAAAGCAAACGTGACTAGGTCAACCAACATTTGGTCGACAAATATGAGATCCCCGCAGCCTACGGTAGTGGCCAAGAACAAGTCCCCGTCATTTCAGGCTTTGATGGCAGGAGAAATTTCGCAGGCTCTTGACTTTATAGCCCTGCCTTGCGGCTTCTCTAGCCTTTCTAAGTCGCGCTTTAAACTGTTGCTTAGAACTGTGTATCATGGGGAAGATTGTTAGATCACATCTTCCGAATGCTCTCCGCAGTAAGCCGACGTGCTGGTTAGCTCTCTTCGCAGCTGCCTTTGACTAGATTGAAAATTTATTTTCGCTTTGAATTAGCGCACTATGGTCACTTGCTTGGGAAATTGTTTGCAACGCAATTGACCCACGTTTATCCACGTAGTCATACCCATGGTGCAATTAAACAGCGTGACGTTTTTCCACATTGAACGGAAGGATATTCAGAACTGATCGGCTGGAAATGGTGTTGAGGTCACGCTGGAGCTTCTCGTGGTCTTTCGGTTATTTAATCAGTTTGATCTACTTGTAATGTTCGCTCCACAGCAAACGACAGCCAACACTTTAACAAAGCAACAAAATTCGGCTCGTTGCAACGCAGACGGAATTCAACTTATTTCATGTATTCTTCAGCGTTTTCTAGCAACCTTAAAGTGCGAGGATTTAGTGAGTGCCTGTTACATGGAATCAACAAGGCCACTAATTTAAACCTGGGGCGATCCGGGTCATGGCTTTCAGCAGCAAGGTCCTATGCCTTACCATGCAAGGCTAAGCTGGACACAAGGTTAACTTGCTTGCAAAGGTTGGGCTACAGCCGCCAGGTTGCAAAAGCCTCGGTAAAACGGCGACGTGCTGGAATGTTCTGTCTAGTGACGACCAACAGAACGTTCCGCGGGTTTTGTCCCGCATTACATTCTAGTAGTCACCGAGCAGTACAACTCTCCATTATAGGTTGGGGCCGTTCATCGTTAGGCCTCGCGAAGAATACTTCATACTTTTGTAGACAATTTTCACTTAGTCCGACGTATGTTCATACTACAGCACCTATAGTTAGCTTGGTAAACGCGGCAGGCGGTGATTTGAGGGAGAGGTTAATCTATGGTAAGTTGGTGCAGCAATTTTCTGCAGGGATGCAGTAGTAAATGCTTAGTTGTCTGATCAAACCAGTTTATCAATTGGCGTAGTCGGTGGCGGAATCTCTTATCAGTTTGTTCCCTTGTGTAAGTTCAATTGATGAATCTTCTCAGAAACATCAGATTGTTCACCTTCATGGATTTCCTATCCAAAACCTTTCTGAACCTTTCCGAGGATCCTAATTACTGCGTTGAGTGGATACAACGCGCAGCATTTCATTTGTGAATGACAAGGGTATTTCACCGGCTATAATCTCTGCGGTTGAATGCCTGGGCACGGCCAGCAGGATTTATTGCCGTTTGCGGGGCTTATTTATTCCGGCGTACAATATATTATAAAACCATTGCCACTCCTAACACCACCTGCGGTGCAGCCGCTACATAAAATTGTGGGGTAATAAGCTGGCGCTAACCACCTAACACGGTTAGTTTGAACGAAACCGTATTAATTTTTCTCTTCGAAATTTTCAGCCGTGGTATGCTCTGTCAACGTTAGTGATTTCAGCTTTTAAGCTTCCTATACAAATGTACTGGACGAGGAATCACACTTGTTGCATTAATTTCTTTGAATTATGTTCATAGAGGAACGACACTACTCAGACCAAGATAAGGCTAATCAGCCTTCATCATATCGGGAAATACGTATTTAGGTGTGTGTTATGGTGGATTATATGCTAGGTTAATCTATTATCAAAACGCACGGTACCTGTTAGACTTTTGCTTATAAATCCGTTTTATACTGCTTTTACTTCGTCCGAATTTATTAAACTAACGACCGGTTTTCTATCATTACCGGCTGCCGAAATATGTCTCAGAATCATGCAATTTTACCAGCAGGAACATTCATCAACAATGTTGTAATTGATCAGCCATGTTTTCAACTAAACAACCGTAACATTAAGCCGTTATTTAACGGAAAGCAAGTCAAAGCTTTTGATTGGAAATAGTTCCGCTTTTATTGGAAAATTATTAATTGTCATAGGCACATCAGCATTCAAGGTGAATATATTTGCTTGTGGTATATCCAGAGCGTGACAGTCCATTAAGTGCCATTGATGGGGACTTCAGTAAAAGATATAATGCGTTTATTCAGATAGTTGTTTTGCTCACTATTGCGACCTAGGTAACTGGTACTGTTGGACAAGCAATTTTATCCTCAAGTAGTTTACTTTGCTATCGCTTACGTAATAGCCTTCCTCACACGGTAAATACTATTATCTGTTATAGGAGGGTACGCCGTCGTTTACAACAGCTTATATTAATGTAAGCCAAGCAAACTCTGCTACGGCGATACGGATACGCATGCTATATAAATAAACTCCAAGTTACGCTATTTGGTATTAATGTTGTTTTTTCAACAAAAAAACATTTATCTGTTCAGCGATGACAAATAACTATTCACCTTAAAATTTAGCTTTGCTGTACATTAAAAACACTTGATTACCATCGGAAAAATCCGCCTTACACTAACCGAACAAATTACAACTAAATATTATATTTTGTAAAAGTGCTCTCT